CACATTCTAAAACATTTATGTGTTATGTTTTTTCAATTCACATGAATATATAGACACATATTCATGCGAGTCTTGTTCTTGCAATAATATGGTATACTTGGTATTTCAATGTTAAATTGAATCTTTCAACCATTAGATACCAAACGTTGATTTTTAAATTATGAAATAAGAAAGTAAAAAAAAAAAGACTACAGTTATCAAAAGGTGTTTTGTAAAAGCGCATGATCGTAGGATTAGGAGGGACAAGACATGACTGCATAAGTCAGTGTCTCGTTTGCTTCGAGAGCCTACGAAGAAAGACACACTCTTATACTCTTCTTCACAACTCTCGGTCGTTCTACTTTTGCTTTGTTCCGATCACCAAATTTTAAAACTCGAAATCAGCGTTGATGATATTCTATTATGTGATCACTCCAAAAAAACATATAAATAATTCATTTTAAATTGTAACAACAATTTCCGAGGAAAGAGTTAGCACTCCACAAACGCGGGCTCGATCGGACCCACGGCTCCATGCCATTGCCCCTCCTCTCTCCGGCAACGCGTGCCTGATCTCTCTCTCGATCGCATGATTTATTTTTAATTAAATCCACATTTCTAAGCACGTTTGTTTCTTTATTTTGGTTATAGAAAATTGGAAATAAAACTGTTAGCTAGTTGTCACATGTTGTACGTACGTATGTTAACATAACAGATGGTGAGATACGTAAAAAATAACGACGAAATTGATATATGGAGGAGTTAGTGGTCAGGTTGACGAAATGAAAAGAGAGTTAGTGGCTAGGTTTTTTTTAATCTAATTTTTAACTCAATAAATTAGCTAATTCCCACATATTTTTGCTTCTATAAATAATTATTCCTTTTCCTAAATCATATCTTTATCGTAACATTTAATTATGATTAGTGAGTTGTAAAGGATTTGACATTGTTCCCGTTACACATTACATAAGAGATTGACTTTATACATAAGATAGATTTAACACAAAACGGCCAACTCTAAAGCCATGTAATCTGTATTAAATTAAATTTGACATAACATGCAAACTCAACGAGGCTGCTAATGATTTTTTTCATTTTAGAAAAAAATAAAAAGTCGGTCCAGAAACATTTAATCAGAAACCTTCTTTATGTATACTAATAATTGTGATTATTACTTGTAGAATAATTATTTGGTCAATTTTATTATGTGTGTTTTTTGTAGATACGGTGGAGATCAGATCTTCTCGGGCAGTTTGAAGCCCTTTGAACAGTTCGAAAGGACAATCCTTAATCAAATCCAACGGCTAAGATCTGTTCTAACATACTTATGGGACCCAACGACATGCCACCTATTCTCAGATTCTGATTCGCTCTCTCCCCCTAAATACCAAATTATTCTCCCAAAAGTCTGTTTTAATTATTTTAGCATATCTACAATATGTTTAACTAAATTTTATTAATAATCATGCCATCTTTGTATAATGCATAATTAATAACTATGTTAAGACAACTGGGTTTGTTGATCTGTTAGTCTGGGTTGCATGTGATTCAAGCTCAGCAAGATATAAGATGTTCCCCGTTATTTCTTAATCATAATTTTCTATATTTTTATTACAAGGTTTATTAGATATAAAGTCTTCAACAACCACTAAATTCTCATGCATCACTATATATTCATATATACACACATTTATCTCTTTTTTGGCTCTATATATATGAGTTGATAACTTATAGGATTTTAAGATTTTACACAAAAAAACATCTACGCACTAAAATTCAAAACAATTTCGGTATTCATGAGTAAATAAAGATGATGTCAAACATGTAATTTTATATGACCAAATACAAAAATTCATGAATCATAACCCCTAATCCATGGGGGGAAAAAACAAGTCATGAATATACTATATTATTATTCCATGGATCCGAAATTGAATCTAGTATTGTCTCATCTGTCAAGC